AAGACAAACTGAATAAAATAATAGCATATTTTTTACAAATTGTTTAACACAATGTACATTCAACCACTGAAATGGTAATTGTTATACAAATCATAACATGTGACTACTCATATTCAAAAGTACATTGCATATTGTATGCATCAAATCTGAAAAATTAAACAGCTTACAAGGCAATAACAGTTTTAACCCTTTAACTCCCATGAATGACCAAGACAGAATTTCTCCTAACAATATTAATACAATATCAAGCAGACAAGAGATGAGAATATGGAAAAACATCAATTACAGGATTATTAGTTGATTGAATACCAAATTCTCCAAACTAACATCACTAGAACTATATGGCAGACAGTAGGGAGAATTACTAATAAGATCTTGGGAGTTAAAGGGTGAAGGTCCCTCACCAATGTCTCAAATGCTGGTTGCTTATATTTGCTCATACAAGTCAGACTTAATTTATCAATTGGTTCTGATTTCTTAGTCTTTGCAATTGTACTTGCCATATAAACAAAGCTATAAACATCTGAAGTTGACCAAGGGACGTACAGACCATCATACAAAGCAGGATCAATGTGTTCATGTCATGTTTTGAGTCCAGCTCTTTCTGATCCAGAAGGAATTACTTCTACCTTGGTTTTCCTAACCTCACATGCCTGATTGAAGTCTATTATTTTGGCTGCCAATCACCACTATTCACCTCTGAAATCAATACATTATCTCCTTTTTGTCATTGTGGACAATCCCTACTCCATGAAGATAAAAGAATCCCAACTACATTGCATTAAAATGCCTAACCATGATTTTTTTAACACACACTCTCTGAGTAAAGAGCTTTAAAAATGGTAAATGAATGTTTGATCCCTTCCTTAACCCTTTAACTCCCATGAGTGACCAATACAAAATTTCTCCTTACAATACAAATACAATATCAACCAGATAAGTGATGAGAATAAAGAAAAATGTCAATTTGGGGATAATTAGTTGATCAAATACTAAATTCTCTGAATTACCATTCTAAGAATTGTATGGTTGGCAGTAAGGAGAATTACAAATTTGATGTGGGAGGTAAAGGGTTAATTCCACAAACCTCTCATACAAGCAGTTAAGTAGTTCTCTAAAAACTACACCAAAGGAAGGGAAATGCTTTGTGAGAAATGTGTGATAAAACACAAGCTTCCTCAGCAACAGTTTCTTTAGTAGTTGATTCACTATAGTACTTGACTGCACTGGAAAAGACATACATGTAAACTTGCAAACACCAAACCTTCCCAGGCCTAACACAACTTTGTTTCTTTGGCTATCCCCTACAACTGAAAGTTGCTAATAGCTCATTTCGTTCACTTAAACATTTAACTTGCTTCAATGAGACATGAAATCCCTCAAAGTTTGATATCTATTATTAATCATTTTGAAAAATATATTTCAAGCATTGCACCTACATGTGCTGTAAAATGATCAATTGATGCTTAAAAGTGAGGATTCCTTAGCAAAAAAGCTTAGCACCTCTGGCAGATTAAACTTTGTCACAGTATTGTAGAGCAAAGAAAAAATTTTTCAAGCATTGCACCTCTGACATGTGCTGTAAAATGATAAATGATAAAATGATAAATCATTGCCTTACAGTGAGGATTCCTCAGTAAAAAGGCTTTGCACCTCTGGCATATACCTTGATCACTGTATTTTAGAGCAAGGAAAATGTGAAATTGATAATTTGAGAAAGAACTGATCAGTCAATGAAAGAATCAATCTATGCCTGAAAGCAAGGATTCCTAAGTAAAAAAAAAAAATCACCCCCAGCTGACATATTACCTTGAACACAGCATTGTTCAGCAGGAAAATACAAGAAATTCATCATTTAAAGCATTGCACCGAAATGTCTGTAAAATGACCAATCAATGCTTTACTTCTATAGCAAGCTGATCCTAGCAGTATGCAAAATGTGTCTCAAATGAACTTTGTAATAGGTCTTGTTCACCATAGAGTCTCTATGGCTCGATCAGTGGTGAGTATCAGGGCATAAAATCCCTAGGTTCGATTACACTTGGGCACACAAGAATTTTTTCTTTGTTCCTAGCTCATCACAAACTGAAAAAAAAAACTTTCTCTATTTCTTACCGAGCTCAAAACTTACCATCTTTCTTATTCTGATTAGTATGTTTATCTAACAATGGTCAAGGGAGGGAGGGGATCTCATGATGAGATACAAGTAAATTGACTGAATTTTATTTTACAACTTAATTCCACTTTCTTGAATTTAAATTCCATTCTGTGGGAGTATAGAAATTGGTTATCAATACAAGATATAAAAAGGCACAAACCTTTCTTGAACTTTTTGGTGTTTCTTTAGTGCTTCCGTTCTCCTTGCTTGTTGGTGTACAGGAACTAATGGGCTTGGTCTGAAGTTGGCCTTTTGCGATACACAAACATTGAACTTAATAATGTGCGTGCCTTATAAAGGTTAATTAAACCAATTTTTTATGACTATAAATTAAATGTATTAAGTGCGGATATCACGTGTTTATGAGTATGGATTCTTGTGCATACTTGCTAAAGATCAGCAAATTTTTCCTCATAGCTTACCATTAATACAGAGGCAGAACCACGAGCGTTGGTACATTTCTTCGACAAGTCACGGTTGGGTCCGGAATTCAAATGATTGGAATGGCTCACCTGAAGTAAATGTGCAAGCATGAAATTGCTTTTAAATAACAAGATTGGCTATGAGGCTTACTTCATAAATAGAAAATCATAAAGGTCAAAACTAGAAAATCTTTGTAGTAAATATGTAATGTAAGCTGATTTCTGTTAAGTTAAATCAGGATAAACCACACAGCGATGCAAAGTCCCTTTCAGAAAGCAAGCAGCGCAAACGATTCACACGAGGGAATCGGGTGTCCACAATTTGACTCTCCTTCGTAGAAAAATCACTGTCATTAGCGAAATGCACAGTATGATATTCGCAATAAACTATCTGTTGAATGTTTCCGCGACGCGGTTTAAACTGCATGGTAGGACAATCCATAGTCTCTTTGAAGATTGTTCGTGTAGGCTGTATTATTCTGTCACCATAGAGCCATTTTGCGGAACTTTATGTAAGACACATCGTTGTGTAACAGTAGCTACAACTTTCTACAGTGGGTACCACTATCTTTACCGTCTACAGTAGGTACAACTAGCTACACAGTCTACAGCAGGTAAAACTACTTACACTGTCTACAATAGGTTCAACTAGCTACACTGTCTACAACTTGTTAACCACATTGTCCATCCATGGAGTCTGGTTGCACTCCAGCTGAATTTTGCATAGCACTCCATCTCCATTTTGTATGATTATTTTTCTTTAAGTTAGTGATCTTCTCGTGCACACAGGGTGAGAATTATGTCATCATTTATTTTATTGTTTATTATTTAAATGGATGAAGTTTGTAAACCTAGAATATGCAGTAGGAGATGACAGCCTTTCAATATATCTAACGTTTTTTCTCCTGACTTTTTATAGGTGGTCTTCGTGGCAAGTGTTTTGTTGACGTTTTTCCGAAAACTTGTGCACCACCGTGTCCCTGATTGATAATAAGCCTTACTTTTTCCAGTCTCGTGGTAATGGGTGTATCACTCTGAGTGGAAAAAGGCGAAGGTAGCGGGCACGATCAGATGTTGGTCCTTTTTCGTAACTGCTGATAATGAAATTCACACACAACAATTCCTCGTTCTACCATTTCAGTGTTTAAGGCAATTATTCTTCCTTTACGAGCAGAGCTATGGCGTGTTTTTTCTCTCAGACAACAAACTTTTTTCGCCAGGCGGTTTGCCTACTGAAGAAACGACACAAACAAGTGCCATAACAATAACACGGGCTTACGAAGTTCGTAGCCATGTTAAGAACGCTCAACTTCAATGACTAAAATTGACACCCGTGGCCAAGTTTTTTTTTTTTTTTTTTTTTTTGGGGGGGGGGAAGATATGTTGCAGAGCAGGTTAGAAAGAAACTTTCTTGAAAATGGGAACCCTATCTGTTGATGCTAAGGCCTATCCCCGCGAAATAAAAACAAACAATATGAAATTTAAAAATGCCGCCACATCGCCGCTATAGCGTTGCTATGGAAATACCGATATTCCCATTTCTTTCTGCTCGTAAATTTTCGCGCGCGTTAAAAGCATGCGCACTCATTTTGCCGCTGTGTCGCTTCCCGCCTAAACTGTCTGACATGCGCGCTTAAGAAATGAGCTCTCAAATATCTCTGGAAGTAATCAATGAGTAACCAGGCCAGGAAACTATTACCAGGCTTTCTTCCACTGGCAGGAAAAAAATTACATGGAACAAATATACTGACCTCGATTTTCCTCCTTTCCTTTGTTCTTTCTTTTAAATCCAGAAAATAAAAGCGACACTCACTGGCATTCAAACAATTGTAGCCAAATCACTGCAGTCAAGATAATCAGCTACAAAAGGTGCAAGAGAAAAATTGGTGAATTTAATCAGGAGCACGTGGGCCGTAACTCCGCCGCTTTTGCGAATAAGATTGGAGTATGTCGACTCAAGTACAAGGAAATCGAGGTAAGTGAACAATATTAACCAATAAGAGGCTTACAATCGCAACTATGTCCATTTTTATTGGAAAACCTAGCGTTGCTGTATATCATTTTCAATTGCGGCAATTAGATTTTGAAAGGACCATTCAACAATGCAAAACCGATTGACCATATAATCAATCATTTCATTGAGTTAGCCTTGCGCTTCTAGTTTATGGTGTTCGCGTAAAGTGCAACCTTGGATTAAGATAATCGTATAATAGATTTTCCTAAATTTATAGGAGCACATAAGACCTGCGAAGCAAATCTTTGAGTAGGTGCGGCTAGAGACGACTCAGGTAATTTAGGAAATTAAGGCCTGGGTCAAAAATGATTTTCGCCTCCAGTGCCCCCCCAGCAAGGTTCGCGGAATTCGCGTGGACTGCGCAAGTAACCATAGTTACTTGGAATCAAGATCGCGTAATTCGTGAACGGCATCCGCCATTTTGAAGTGTCGGCTTTGCATTGGTTTTTCCCATCTTCGCTGGTGAATCCGACAATCAAGAGGAAGACATCAAAAGAAGGTAATAACATTTTCTTTGCTATCTTCATTTCCTCAAAAAATGGCATGATATCGCTATCTTAAAGCCAAAGAGAACCCTTTTAAACCTACGAAGACTTCTAAACACCGCTCTCAACATGTTCATTGATTTCGCTGCAAATACAATGCAACATGAATTTATAATATAGCGCTCATTTCTAGAGCTCAATAGCGTTTTACAATGTTTGTAACTTTTGCATAGAAAAAAGTACTATGTTTTGTAGCAAATGCATAGAAAAAAGTTTCATTGTGGATATACCATTCAATTTTGAAATTAATTTAGCTTGATAAATCCTCTATCACATCATGATGTGTAAACTGATGGTGTTTATCAAAATTTAGGCTTTTGAATGCTTTGGAAACAATTTCTCCAAGAAGCAGATGAATTTACTGACAAACGTAATCCCCAAAAGCAGTTGTTAGGTAAGTTTAATTGCTGACATGTAAGATGCAGATTGTCTTGTCATAAATTGTCCCTTGAAAACTAAGAGGAAAAAAGCTGTACTAATGTGTGTTAGTTTATTCCGAGGTCCCTTACTGAATTGCTATAAATATATAATAATAATAATTTTAATTACTCACACAGAAAACCAGCCAGCCCTTGCAGATTCCAAAGGGAATCTACTTGATTAAAACCAGTTTTATTTACTGTTATCCCTATTTGTTTTCTTGAAGAGGTCCTTCCAGTTATTCCACACAACTAATTTATTACAAGCATGTTAATGGTGTTATTTATGAGGCATTTTTTTGGTTTTTAAATCATGTTATATCAGTTTTAATTATAGTCAACAGTTTGGTTTTTAAGTTTTGACCGGTAATAATTGCAACAATCATTGTCAATGATGGACTTGTAATTGATATATGTGTCTATTTGAATGTAAATATTCTACCCACTACACCAGTGGAGTATCTTTTAATTCAAATACATCACAAAAGTCCTGATACATGCATATGATTCTGACCATAGCCTTCTCTCTTTGTTGATAAGACATGATTAATTACCAGTGCTTACTGTTGCCCCAAGTGGGGCACTGTTTTTTTTTGTGACAAGAGCAAACACAAACTGGTATAAGATGTGTCATCTTCTCAGCCCTACTCATAAAAGATGTGCCATCTTAAGAGCAGGATAGGTTGCCCTTGTTACAAAGTCAGAAAGGAAAATTTTAAAATTGTATTTCTTGCTTTTTTTGTTGCTCTTCTAAGTCAATATTCCTGTCAGAAGGCTATGGTGGCCTAACTGGTTAAAACTCTGGTTTATAATTTTAAGTTTGATCTGCCAGTTGCTTGCCTAAATTCAATTCCGTAGATCAATAATTGGCAGGAATTGGGAAATAAATCGGTACATGAATGTTATCTAGCAGCGATGTAAAATTATAGACATGAGTATGACCTATGAAGTAATTTGTACCTGATGGACCCTAGAGCACCTTATCTGTGCATTAATAAAAATGTCCCTCTAACATTCATTCACAATTCGTAAAGCAGAAGTACAAAATTAGTTTAGACCAAGAGCACACATAAACTTGCTAAAGACATGCACATACATTGTAATTTTAACCTTGCAAAGCCCAATAAAAAGACTCCTGCCGTGACATGGCTAGGGTAACTTTACCTGATTAGAGTGTTAATTATTACTTTCTTAAGCAGAGGTTTCATTAAGATTTTGAGGTGATGGGAAATGTACAAGGAAGCAGGCAAAATATGTTTTGATTCTGATTTATGTCAGTCACAACATGCAGGAAAAATTATGTTCCCAGCCAGTCAATTTGCCCAGTGTCAGGCCCGTGAAACCCCTGCTTAAGCTTATAGTATTCAGTGAGATATTATGGAAGCCAGTGTTGCCATAATGCCTGTTGTTGTTGGTCTTCTTACAGGGCTGGCATCCAAACATTCTTAAGCCATGGAAACCAAAAGTGGAATGTTTTGCTTAACACCTACTTTGAACAGAATTTTACCAAGAGAATAAATATCACTGGCTTCATTAATTCTTTGCAGGAGGAAAGGAGCTGTCACATGCTTTTCCAAAATTGATGATATAGCCATGTTTGTTACTCACAAGAAAATTATTAGCCTTCAAATCACAGTGAAGAAAGCCTTTTGTGTGAATATGTGAAAGGGCTTCTGTCAAATCATGTGAAATAATTAACCAGTCATTTGTTATGAGTGAGCTTTGCACATTCTGTATTGTTGCACTGTTTTTCTGACCAGACAATAGTTTGCTTATTGTTACAGATGTATTGTCTTCCCCTTTAAACTCCATTATTAAGGAAATGGGCTGCTTTTGAAGCTGCACACCTATTATGGGCGGTTAAGAATATATGAAGGTCATATATTTGAACTGCAGATAAAGACATGAATGAAAGTGATCTTCGCAGTGATGTGCACTACTT